AGCAGGAAGATGAATTAAAACTGAAGCTAAATATTTAAAGAGCATCCCCATGTCCCACCCATATTCTTGAATCCAGCAACCTGCAGCTGCTTGTCAAGAACTGGGACGGTGTTGGTAAAGTTACGAACAGAACTATCCCAACTGAAGTCTTGGCTAGAGGCCTCTCTGGGCACTCACAGGTAAAGCACCCCAGAAAAAAATCCATTTCAAGTCGGGAAGGAATGCTCCCTTTCACACGTTTAGACCCGTGCACATTCACTCTTCCCAAGTTTCAGCAGCCCCACTGAGCTGCCTCCCACCCCCCACCCTCCCCTTTTCTATTCACTCTCTACCTGTGTATCAAAAAACCAGCAGGGCACGAGCCCTCCATACTGTATAAAATAGTTGCTATTCTCAGCACCTGGGCCTAGGAGCCCACACCACAGGATTCACCTATATACATATCCTGCTGCAGTGAAAAGAATCCTGCTGCGTTTCTATGTGAGCGGAAACCCTGAGAAACGTTCCTTCTCTTGCACTGTAAGAGGACAGATACTCTAACAGAGATGATTTCAGAGACCTCCGGCCCCTCTCAACCTTGGAAGACAGAGACTAGAGAGAGACTGGCAAATCAGTCTTCAGGCTGAGGGCTGCAGTCCCATGTTCCCCGAGGTTTTATGGGAATTCGTTAATGGGTAAGTAGAGGGGGCAAACTATTCTGCTCTGTGATCAGGAACAGTTCCCATGCCTCCCTGGCCTGGGAATCCTATATAATAGAACCACCCAAATGGCAGTCTCCATGCCTCGGCCAAACAGCACGAAGGCACAGCAAAGTGGAGATTGGGACATTTGGCCTCCCAGCCCACCAGACCAGATATCCCAAGAGGGAAAGGTCGGTAAAGAAAAATACAAACGGTTAGTTGGTGCAAGTGATTGATAAGAGCCAATCGTTTATTTTCACTGCCCCAGTCACAAACTCTCCCTCTGTCCCACTCCTGCCTGCTCCTACCTGCTGTGGAGAGTACCCTCGCACTGCTTCCCCGTCCTCCCCACACCACCTCACCTCTCCCCCTTGGCTGCCAGTACAGCTGCCTTAGAATGTCAGACGGGTGACATTTTAGTTCTTTTCCTGTTCAACTGCAGGGTATAGAACAGGCAGCCCTAAGTGCTGCTTTCTGCGCAAATGTTTTTTGATTACAAATATCTAACTAGGTTTGAAATGTTTTATAGAATAAGACAATATTCTTTTCAACAAACTTTAAAAAAAATGTACAGTTTTGTTGTTTGTTTCCACCTCCCCCCTCCCCCACCCCTGCTTGTGCACCCTCCCCCCCAACCACCCCTCCCTGGCAGCTCAGCCCCACCCCGACAGCCCCTGTTTTCCTTGGTTGTGTTTTGGGGGGTGCCTGGCACCCCCAGAGATTCAGCTTCATGGCTGACAGGCGACAATGGCAGGGGCTTCACCGATACCCTTGGTAACCGTAGTAGTTCCTGTAGTATCGGTCTCTGTCCTGGGGGTGGTGGTAGTAGTAATTCTGCCACTAGAAGAGAGGGGAAACCCCGTCACTTGGAGCCAAAGTCGGCTGAGGATGAAGAGGCACTATACACTCACTCATCCTGGTGTTGTCCCACCCCCATTATCCTCTATCTGTCCCGAGAAGATACTCACGTCCCGATTGTATTGTCTGTAATAGTCTCTGTATCTGTTGTACTCATAATCTCGCCCGTAGAATCGATCATAGTCTCCCCTGTATCGATCATAGAAATTACGGTAACCCTGAAAAAGGAGACAGAGAAGGAGTAAAGATTTATGGGTATTCAGCAGCACAACCCACTACTACCCCCTCTTCAATGAGACATATCTTAGCTTAATATGATAACAGGTTTAATTTTCCCAGAATAAATTCTTTCACAAGAACATATTAAATGGGCAAAACCTAACCCCTGAGAAAACAGCCCAAACCCCTCTGCTCCCCCAAGCCAGTAGGAATGGCTATCACGGCCCATAGGGAGGAGCAGAAGGAGAGCTGCACTCACCCCTCTGTTTCCAGACTGCCCCCAGTACTGCTGCCCGTAGGCCCGGTTGTCGTAGCCTCGGCGCTGCCCGCCCACTGGAAGAGAAATGGAGAGCGCGCTCAGACAGCTGGCGTGGGGTCCTGGCTCCACGTCTGAGTGGAAATCAAAAAGTTGGAGCCAAAGGCAACTCGGGGGAATAGGAAGCCTGCTTCAGCCAGGCTCACACCATGTTAATTAAAGAAAGCCAGGATCTTTTAAAAAGTCTGAGGGGAGAGGGCAGTGGAATGGAGACACCAGAAAACCAAGCCACCTTGCTTTTGAAGCTCTCCAATTCCTGCAAAACATTTAAGATGGCAAAAGGATACATGGCAGAGTTAGATACATGAGTAAAAACTGCCATTCAAGGAATCACAGACTCTCAGCCCTCTATGGAATCTCAAATATCATACTATACCTTCATTTCATACAAAAGATTGTCTATACAATAAGCTTCTCAAAGGTGGGAACTGTTGGTATTCCCAGTACCTAGCATATAGCAGGCACTCAAAAACTGCTGTCACACGGTTACACACACACACACACACACATTTTTAATGAACAATGAAAGCACACTGGGGGTCTAAGTGACAAACTAGACATTCGGGGGCGGGGAGGGAATTAATCCACTAATTGCCTAGCTTGCATTGCAGGCCCCCAAAATTACTGAATAATGCACTTTCTAGTCTAATAGGTTGATCCAAAAGACACAGAAGCAAGAAAACTTAAGAATCAGTTTCACTGAACAAATCAATCAGATAGGCTTGGACAGTGAAATTGGGAACCCAAGTGTTAAAGTTAAAGCTAGAGAAATGAGAAGGTTCAAGAATTGCTTTTCAAGGAAACAAATGTTTTTGTTGAAAGTAATTACCATTCTATTGAAAGATCATGAAAAACTGGGGGTAAAGGACACAAGAAGAAACATGTTCCACACAGAAGGCACTTCCTTATTGCGAGCGCCTAGACTTGGTTTCCTTGGCCTTCCCTTGTGGATGCTGCTGTACTCAGCACAAAGAACAGACTGAGGCTGGGGGCTGACAGGTCCCCAGGACTCACCATAGCCTTGGCCTCGGCTTCGGTTCTGCCGGTTACGCTTGTTTCGGTTGTTTCGACGGTTTGTCCGCTTCTCGGAGGGGGGAAGCAGCTTCCTAGCCTCCTCTTTGTACTTAGTGACAATGGGCTGAGCTTCCTCCTTCTCCAGCTCCCCGTATGTCACCTCATCCATGTAGTCACATTTTTCAGGCAGAGAGAAGTTGGCTATAAGAATAATAGAGAAGGCTGTGGGCCTGAGAAGCATGTAGATGGGTAAGAACTCACCATTAAACTCCGCTACAGGAAGTATACAATTTTCTAAGCCATACCTATCAACACACAACAATGTGCTGGTTTCATACCCATGGACATTTTGTTTGCTTGCTAGAGGGCATGTGCACTAGCTGGAGAGAGACAGAAAGAGGGAGAGAGAAAATGAAAAATCACTCCCCAGGGGGATGGCCACGCCACGAATTGCAGTCTCTTTTCTTCCATGTTCCTCTCGGGATTTGGAACATGCGTGTACACACAACTAGCTTGTCTTTTTTGAAAAACACCTATTTATTTGCTGCCAGGTCCAGGACTCGAACTGCAGTAGGCTGGAAGGAGTCCAGAGCCTTAGCCATCAGGCCACTTGCTGGCTCCACCCTAGCATCTTTCAAACTGTAAGGTCCAGAACTCTAACCATGCAGCCAGCCATGTGGGATCCAGCCACCTCAACCTCTGGGCCTACTGACATGTAAATAATCAAATCAACTTTTCTCTACCCTAAATTTTCCCTAAATTGTACTAGCCTTAGGCAAAGGGCTATCCAGTAAACTTTAGATTTACAAGTTCTCAGGTAATCCATAATAAATTATGGGTAGATTGGGTTAAGGTTTCTTATCAAGACAGAGCAGATAGCCAGAGGCTAAAAGTAACTGAGAAAGTTTTGGTCTTGGTTAGATAAGATGTTAAGAAATAACATTTTCTTAAAGAGACTCAGTGACAAATGGACCCAAACCTAATAGCACCTACTCATCTACGCAAGGGTAACACAAAACGAGGGAACCAGGGCTCTCCTCTACCACTTGCACAGGGCAGGCCTGCAGATTTGTCAGTCTTGGGACATCAAGGTCAGAGGCTGAACCCATCAGTTCAACAGGGTTCTCATAATTCTCAGATGGATCCAGCTGGCCCTGAATTATAGAAAACTAAATCGAATTCTTTCAAATGCCTGAGTATCAGGTATGGACTGGCATAGTTCATTCTAAGTGAATTTGGAGGATCTGGCTCACAGGTGTAAACTAGTTCCCACTACTGGGGATTATCAAAACTTGAAGCTGGCAGGTAGGATGCCGTGAGCTAAAGGCAACAAGGGGAAGAAAAAAATCACTCTTAAGAGACCAGCAGGAAATGGGATCAAATATATATTTTTTTCTTTTTTTGGAGAGGTTTTTGCTATAGGGTGCATGTGTTCGCCAGAAAGACAGAGACAGAAAGCGAGAAATCACCCTCTAGGGGGGATGACCATGCAGCAATCCCTTCTCCATTCTCCTCTCGGGATCTTGGGCATGCATGCACATGTGCCTGGCGTGAGTTTAAGCCGCCGGATCTAGGACTCGAACCGCAGTCGACTACATGGGAGTCTAGCGACATAGCCATTACGCTAACTGCTGGTCCCATGGGATCAAAATATTTTAATCAAAATATTTAAATGCATCATGACCTTTGGATGACCCAATAGTTAATCCTGCCCTGTGTGAACCCTGCTCTCAGGCTCTGTACCGTGTTAAGGTATAGACACACACAAACAAAAATGCACAAGCCAAATGGGATACCAGAAATCAAGATGTAACACTAAGACCATATTTTATTTTGAACATAATCATCTTTCCTTCTTATGAAACATAAATTCCATGAAGGCTGAGCTTCACTTCATACTAACCTATTTCCCTATGTCTAAGACAGCACTGGACAAACAGCAAACATGCCATAAAATTTTACTTAATGAATAAGTACCCTAAGAAAGCCTCTCTCTTGGGGTTTAATTATCCCAGGGTCTACAACTATTTCCCTTTTTTGTATCTTCTCCAGAATGAATCAAGGAGTTACTTCTTCATCCACTTCACTCATTCATCTACGTGTGTTCACACCCATTAAGGTGCTCTTCAGACTTACATTTTGATTGCCACGGATACCTATGCTTGCAAGAGCAGCAGACAGAGAGGAAGAAAGCATCCCCCAATGGGGAATGGTTACCCCACAATTCCTTTTCCATTTCTCCATCCTGCTGGGATTTGGGGCACATATATGTAGCATGTTTTTCAAACCACCATGGCCAGGATTCAAATCATGGTCTTTAATGGGGGATCTGGTTCCCTTAACACTAGGCTATGAAGAAAGCCTCAGATTCACACTTCAGTTGTGGAATGTCACTATTTGTGCTCTGAGGCCCCAGTATGGTGTGCACTGACCAAGACAGGATCCTCGTATCATTTTGGCCCACCTTTCATCTCCAGCATTATAGACTCAGGCACATCATCTCCCTCTACTTCCTTCCTCAACTCCAGCCTCTTCTTCCAATCTTCCTCATTAGGGACAACCACCACCACTTTCCGAGAGAAGGTCTTAAACAGCAATAGCTTTCGCCGTTGGCCAGAGTTGTACACATTACACTAAAACAGGAGGAATAACAAACATTCGGGAATAAAAATTATCACTCAAATTTGACCAAAACACAATTATCTTTACAACTGAGGCACCAGGTTAAGAGCTGATACACACAATGTCAATTTAGTTTTTCAAACTCTACGCAGACAGGTATTTATCCTGTTTTATACATAAGAAAACAGGTTTGGAGAGACTAAGTCATCACAAACCCAGTAACTGGTAGAGCAAGGGATCCAGATAAGCTCCGACTCTCTTTGCAGTGCCTCTATCACATGTTCTATAGTCTGGGTCCACATACTCTCAGGGGAAACCGCAATGATGCCTCCATAATGTACAAAAGCCATTACAACCTAACATAGGACCAGAGAGTCATGATTAGGTAACCAGATTCAGTTCTCTTGTTTCTCTACATATGCACCCATTTTGACTCTGAGCAATTTTATCATATTAAATGGATGCTGAATTTCCATCTTTTGATCTTCTGTAAAATCAGGTTTTTTAAAGAAAAGTGTGAACAATACCTGATCAAGAATGAAGTTCCTCTTTGTCCTGGAAGCAATCTGGACCAGCTTACTAAGGCACTGGGAGGCTTGCTGAACTAAAAGGTCTCGGCTTTTGGGGTCCATCTCTGGCTCCTCGAGCCCCTTCATCTGATGAGTTTGAGAGGAAATGAAGAGAAACACAAGTTATGTAGCAAGTTAAAGTCCAAGAATCAGTGATAAATGTTACTTCCTTAAATGTCAAATTCATCAGATCAATTAATTTCTATTCCTCAGTGCTGTGAATGCTGTCCATTTCCTGAAGCAGTCATTTTCAGTCTCAACCTGGATATATTCCAGATTTTATCTGCTTTCAGAAATTTGTCAATACAACAGAGGGAAAAAAAGGAAAATATGTACCCAAAACACATACAGAGAAAAACTAATTTCTCTAGTTGTGGGACCGTAGTTCTCAGACACATGAAAGACTATCTACAGAGGCTGGGTCGGTGGAGTTTCTTAATATCTCCAGAGCAAATACTATAGCAAATTAAACTTCCCCAGTAACTCACCCTCATTTGATTGAGCACAGTCTCAGCTCCCAGAACATTGTATCTTTTCTCAGGGTTTTCTTTTGCATATTTCAGTGCCCATTGGGTCTTTCCAGATCCAGGCAGTCCCACCATCAGAATCACCTGCAAGTAAATAGAATCAGAAATGAAATTTTTAAAAAGTGAGGATTATTATTTTAAGAATTATTTTAAATTTAATTTTAATTATTCGTTCATTTATTTTAATTTGACTAGAGAGAGAGAGAGACAGAGAGAGGGAAAATGAGAAAGCAAGTCACCAGGTCCAGGACTCAAATCATGGTCAGCCACGTGGGAGTGTCTAGCACCTTAACCATACCACCTGCTGGTCTCAGAGCCTTAACCACCATGCCACCTGCTGGTCCCGAATGTTTATAAAATGTAATTTAAGAGCATCATCTTCATTTCAGTTTGGTAACTTTTTTTTCTTTTTTTTTTTTTTGAGAGAGAGGCTTTTGCTATAGGGCACGTGCACTCTCCAGAAAGAGAGACAGCGAGAAATCACCCCCTAGAGGGATGGGCACACTGCAAGCCCTTCTCCTCCACTCTCCTCTTGGAATCTTGGGCAAGCACCCACGCAGTCATTTTCAGTCTCAACCTGAATATATTCCAGATTTTATCTGCTTTCAGAAATTTGTCAATACAACAGAGGGGAAAAAAAGGAAAATATGTACCCAAAACACATACAGAGAAAAACTAATTTCTCTAGTTGTGGGACCGTAGTTCTCAGACACATGAAAGACTATCTACAGAGGCTGGGTCGGTGGAGTTTCTTAATATCTCCAGAGCAAATACTATAGCAAATTAAACTTCCCCAGTAACTCACCCTCATTTGATTGAGCACAGTCTCAGCTCCCAGAACATTGTATCTTTTCTCAGGGTTTTCTTTTGCATATTTCAGTGCCCATTGGGTCTTTCCAGATCCAGGCAGTCCCACCATCAGAATCACCTGCAAGTAAATAAAATCAGAAATGAAATTTTTAAAAAGTGAGGATTATTATTTTAAGAATTATTTTAAATTTAATTTTAATTATTCGTTCATTTATTTTAATTTGACTAGAGAGAGAGAGAGACAGAGAGAGGGAAAATGAGAAAGCAAGTCACCAGGTCCAGGACTCAAATCATGGTCAGCCACGTGGGAGTGTCTAGCACCTTAACCATACCACCTGCTGGTCTCAGAGCCTTAACCACCATGCCACCTGCTGGTCCCGAATGTTTATAAAATGTAATTTAAGAGCATCATCTTCATTTCAGTTTGGTAACTTTTTTTTCTTTTTTTTTTTTTTGAGAGAGAGGCTTTTGCTATAGGGCACGTGCACTCTCCAGAAAGAGAGACAGCGAGAAATCACCCCCTAGAGGGATGGGCACACTGCAAGCCCTTCTCCTCCACTCTCCTCTTGGGATCTTGGGCAAGCACCCACATGCACCCAGCCTGAGTTTTAAGCTTCTGGGTCTGGTACTCACAGCTCAGTAGACTACATGGGAGTCAAGCGACACAGCCATTACACCAATGGCTGGTCCCAGGTAACTTTTTTTCTTAAAGAAATGTTTAATTCTGGGACCATCAGGTAGTGTGGTGGTTAAGGTGCTACACACTCCCAAATGGGTGATCAAATTTGGAGTCCTGGACCTTGTGAGCTGCTTTCTCACTTTCTCTCTGGTCAAATTAAAACAAAATAAAATAAATGAATAAATAAAATTGAATAGATAATACTTTAAAAAATTGTTTTATTTTATTATTTTCTTTTTAAAAATTATCTATAGGAGGACCAGCAGGTGGCGTGGTGGTTAAGGTGCTGGATATGCCCACATGGCCGACCACAGTCCCAGACCTGATGGCTTGCTTTCTCACTTACTCTCTCTGGTCAAATTAAAATAAATGAATAGAATAGATAAAATTAAATAAATAATTCTTTTTTTTTGTTGTTGTTCTATAGAGCACACGTGCTCACCAGAGTGACAGAGACAGAAGAGAGAATGTTAAGAAAGCAAGCTGCCAGGTCCCGGACTTGAACAGCAGCCAGCCATATAAGAGTCTAGCACCATAACCACCATACTACCTGCTGGCCCCCAGTTTGGTAACATTTTAAAAAAAGATCTAGGAGAGTGGGGCCGGCAGGTGGCATGGTAGCTAAGGTGCTATATTCCCACATGGCCGGCTGCAGTTTGAGTCCCGGACCTGATGGCTTGCTTTCTCACTTTCCCTTTCTCTCTCTCTATGGTCAAATTAAAAAATAATAACAACAAATGGAATTAAATAAATGTTAAAAAAAAAAAAAAGAGATCTAAGAGAGTATACCCACCATTCCAAAGAATGAAACCTAAATTTTTGCATTCTGTTTGGCATACCTCACATTCCTCTATGGTCTTGGGAGGGACTGCCGT